CCCCGAAGTGTTACATGTAAAAATCCAATAGCACTTGGCGTCAGTGTTTTGCAAAAGAAAAGTAAGTAAAAAATTTAATAGAGCGCAACTTTATACAACTAAAAAGACAGTCCATCAGAACAGTAATACAATTGTATAACATCCCATAATCAACAAAAATGGCCACTCGCTTTCTCTTCAAGCAAAAAGTGCCAATCCAAACCAAAAATTTGAGAGGCATAAAACTTCTCCCGACAACATTTTAGGAATTGATTGCCACAAGTAGAACAAGAAAGAACAGATCTTTAATTGAAAATTCTGTAGGAATTGAACAAAAGCGTATTCAATACAAAAGCTCTAATATTTCTTACGCAGTTTTTATTCCTGTATGTACAAATGACAAAAGCCAAAGAGCAAAATTCAAAAACCTGTTGCAAAACCAGCCTAAAAAACAGTAGTTGTTGAAAAGAGTAATATCCTAACTCTTTAATGATCCTTCCATAATAATATTTTCATTTCTGCCCATCACCTTAGCATTTAAAATAAGATCAGCTTCAAAAATATTTACAGGAACCGTCTGAATTTTAATCACTTCTCATTGTATTTCGAGAAAGAAGTTATGTGCTCTTCTACATCGTTCTTCTCCGTAGAGCCACATCTGTATTCTTAGCTTTAACAAGATGAAGCTCATAGAAGACGTTCTGTAGTCGACTATGAGTGAGAAGACCAACAAGGTAGCAAATAAGTTGTCTCGTCATCAACAATAGCTTCAAAGTGCTCCTAATAAACTAATTGATTGGAGCAAGCACACAGCCGCCAGGCCCCGCCAAAGTGGTCTTTCCCATAAGGTAATGATCGACCTAAAATAATAAGCACAAGACTCAGCAGTAAAGGAACTAAATAATATAAGTGAACTTAAATATCTTAGCAAATAATCTTACCCTGCTTGAAAGCTGAAGCATAAATTAGAGATTGAGAGATAACTCACTTGTCGTGCTGCTTGACGTCCCTCATGAATGGCCCATACTACCAAAGACTGCCCACGACGGCAGTCGCCAGCTGCAAACACTTTAGCGACCGAGGTGTTGTATTTATCGGTATCGGTTACAATGTTACATTTACTGTCCGACTTAAGATCCAACTGCTCAATGACTGCCTAAAATCCAAATTTTAATAACGTTCTTATCTACAACTACGTTAAGAATAAAACTTTATTCGATACTTTTTCTGGTCCAGTAAAACCCAATGCAAGTATACATAGATCACATGGATAAGTATTCTTGGTCCCTTCAATCTCCTTCATCTTCCACGCTCCTTTTTCATCCTTTTCCCACTCAATTTCAACAGCCTCCAACCCGGTCAGCGTCTTTACATTTGAGGATTCTTCAGCGATGAACCTCTAAAAAATCAAATCAGCTACTCCAGCCAGAAAAAGATCTAGTAACGAAACTTAATAGAAACAGAAAACCTTAGTGCAAATTGAATATTTTCGTGGATCACTGCCTGTGAGCTTACGAAATTCTTCGTGACCATAGTCAACCCGAAAAACAAGAGGCCATTCAGGCCACGGATTGTCAGGCTTACGTTCTTGAGGCGGCTGCGGCAAGATTTCAAATGTACATATACTTTTTGCTCCCTAAAACCGAGCTTTTTTAAAGTTAATATATATCTCTGCTTTCCACAAGTTGCCTAGATCATACCAGTCTGATACATGTGGCTAGGCAATCAGTAGCTGTATCGCCACCCCCAAGAATGATGACGCGTTTATCTTTCGGATCCAGTCCATCCCAAGGAACGTTTTCTCCGGCCCGGCGCATCTGACTTTTTTCCAAGAACTCCATAGCAAAGCATATTCCCTTAGCATCTCTATTTTCAACAGGCAAATCTCGTGGAATTGTTGAGCCAGTACAAACCAAAATGGCATCATTTTCCTACAAGAGCTACTAAGTGTGGAAAAATTTTTTTTCCTTGATAGCGGTTTTGCACATTACCTCCAAAAAAAACCCACCACAAATACTTCACATAAAATTAGATGATAAAGTGATTTATATTTAAACTTAACACTACCGCAACTAACCTTTAGCAGAAATTCGGCAGAAACGTGTTTTCCAATTTCTGTGTTTGTTAAAAATCGAATCCCTTCTGCTTCCATCAGTTTTACACGGCGGTCAACAACAAATTTATCGAGCTTCATTGTAGGTATTCCGTACCTTAAATTATTACCTTTGAGAATTTCCAACAATAAAAGAATTGAATTCAATTCCAGTTACCGAAGCAGCCCTCCTACACGATTTTTCCTTTCATACACAACTACAGTGTGGCCAACTTTATTTAACTGAGCAGCAGCAGCCATCCCTAAAGAGAGTTTCAGCTCGAAATAACCATGCAATTTCAAAAACATTAGAAACAGCAAAACAAAAAAGTGGGTAATTGAAAGTCTGAACAATAAATGTACAAATAGAGGAATGGCAAAATCACCTGCAGGACCGCTTCCAATAATCGCAATGCGTTTTCCTGTACTTAATGTTGGCTTTTGCGGTTGCATCCATCCTTGCAAGAACGCATAATCGATGATTGCACATTCTATATTTTTGATGGTTACTGGAGGAGATGTAATAGCGAGGCAGCACGCTCCCTAGAAACCGCTTACAATAATACTAACAGAAAAAGACGCTTTCAAAAAAACATGAACTTTCCAATTTGTCAATTACCTCGCATGGAGCTGGACAAACGCGTCCCGTAAATTCAGGAAAGTTATTTGTTTGTAACAGCTGCTGCAAAGCCTGCCTCCAATTCTGCTTAAAAACATAATCATTCCATTTAGGTATAATATTTCCCAGTGGACAACCCGTATTGCTCTGACAGAACGGTACACCACAATCCATACATCTACAAAAATATAAAGCAGTTATCAGTGCTGAGAATTCATATGTTTTTTAAAATCGTCTTATTCCCACCTAGCCGCCTGTTTACGAATGCTTGACCTAACAACAGCATAATCTGTAACTTCTTGCCAGTCCTTGATCCGTTGCTCAGGCGGGCGATAAGTCACTTTAAGGCGATGATACTTTACAAAACCGCTGAAAAAATCAATAAATCGGAAAAAAAATGTTCTTCGTGGACAAAAATGCATGAAAACACAAAATATACCGAAGTTTGTCCAGTGGCTCATCCGCTCCATATTCTGAAGGAGTAGTTACTGGAATGTTTTCAATGTCAACATTTTCGAAATCAGGCTTAAGCTCTTCATCACTATCGGCTTCAGATTCTGATGATTCTTCGTCTTCATCAACCTCCTCCTGTTCGTCCTGAAGGTCCTTTTCCAATTCAAAACCTGCGATGTCCTCAGGACGAGGACTCCTTGAGATTACTTTTTCAGGTTTATGCATCTGTAATAAATTCTTTCACAGCTTTCTTTTTTTTAGTACAAAAGAATTACAGAAAAGCTAGTTTCACTGCCTCTCATTACTTAAAAGGGGATAGCTCATAACCAATTTATATTTAGAAAGAAAAACAATTCACTTGTTAAACTTGCATAACGAATTAATCAAAAAAATTAGGAAATGCAGAAAAAGAAATAAGCGAACAGGTAAACGAGAAAACAGGCCAAACTTTTAGATGAAAATTTTTCAATAATATGTTTTTATTTCAAAAACTGGGTGTAAGGCAGACAAAAGTAAAAAAACAGTCAGTTAGTGAGCCAGTGGCGTACAACGTGTATGCAAAACTTGCCAAAAGCTCTAGTAAATGTAACTTTACACTTATTTCCTCAATTCTCATCTTAGCTCTTGTCAAGAAATCCTTAAAATTAGAAAGCAAACTGTTTAAAATCATGGCAGTTATCCTCAAAATCATTAATAAAAAGAACGAAGAGCGAGACAAAAAATAATAAATTTTTGGAAATAAAACCCTAACTAAAAATACTTCAAAAACACAAGTGCAGAAGTCGTTAAAAATTGAAGACCCTCTCTTACCGGATAAAAGAAACAAACTATATTTTTGCTCAATTCATTTAGCCTGACCCACAAACAGCTTAACACACAAAAAAATAAACAGTTTAGACATTACCGCTTCAGTTTTAAAAATTGGAAAGATAAGATGAAATACAGTTTTTCTTGTGCGCTTTAAAAAAGTCATCTTTAGGCTTAAAATGTTTCGCAACTGAAGCGAATGTAGAGTTCATGCACGTTTACGAAAACAAGCATACACACATCTCTAAGCTAAACTATAAAAAACAAACTTTTGGAAGGTTAAAGCGGTTTGGTTCTTCTTGAATCACCTGTAACATGATGAAAAAAACATTTTGAAACAAACATGACACAGTTCTAGCTAGTTTGCACTGAGCCCCAATTAAGGAAAATATTGTCCAGTAATTTTAATAAGTTAAAAAGGGTTAAAAAGTTAATGTTAAATCCTATCCATTTCATGATTAACAGGTACTAGTTTACCAGTACCGTTCCTATAAAATTTTTTGCATCTCATCTTTTTAAGCGCATGTCATCCTCTCGTCACGCGGACAAAAGACTTAGGAAAAATCAAAAAAAAAATCGAAACACCTCGCGTCCGTTTTAAAGCATCAGATTAAACAATAGCGATTATCCAAGAAATACCTTTCCACTTTTCCTGCGAGATACCTTCACTTGACGCTCTAAACTAATTTGCTTATCCATTGAAAACGTTCGATTTCTTGAAAAGATTGGACTTAACGGAAGCTTGGTGGCATCTTCAAACTCCTAAAGATACTATCATATATAAGACTGATAGCATTACCATAAATAACATTTACCTTCAAAGAACCGTCAATTTTTGCTTTCTTTTCTGCTTCATTTCGCATAGCTTTAGCGGCTTTTTGCTCCTTTAACGCTCGCTTGTAATCTTTAGGAAATACCTGTAAAAATAAAATTCAATATTTGGAACAAAAATAGGAACCTTTTCTGAGATAACAACATCTTGCCTTAACAAAGCTCTTTTGCGAGCCCTCCCAATCTTTTAACAGTTCATTGCCAATTTCAGATCCGGTAGCCTTCACAAACTCATTGATCTTGTTTTTCAGCCAACTGATATCCTCTGTCGTCGGATTTTCCAAATCCACCGTTGCTACATTCATCATCTGCCTCACTTTGCCATTACTAAAAAACTTTCAACTGAAAAATTCCCAACCAGTAAAAGAAGACCAACAAACCTGCTGAGTTGATAATTTAGAAAAAAGTTAAAATATTATTGAACAGTAGCATTTTTTTTAACCAACAAAAGACTTCGTTAATCGGCTCAGTAACATCCGCAGCCAAAGCCGCAACATCATGAAACGATGAAGACCTTACTAGTCAAAAACATAAGCAATTCCTCCAGACATTGCTGCAGCAAAATTCCTTCCAATCCCGTGTAAAATTACTACTATGCCACCGGTCATGTATTCACAACCATGATCACCAACAGCCTCTATTACTGCAACAGCTCCAGAATTTCGCACTGCAAACCGTTCACCACCAATGCCACGAAAGAATGCCTCTCCTAGAAAAAAAAACAAATACTAGCAATGTACTGAATTATTACAATTATTACTAAGTTTAAAGTTTTACCATCAGTAGCTCCATACAGTGCAACATTTCCAATAACAGAGTTTTCCTCAGACTTGAAAGCACAGCACTTTGGTGGGCGAATTATAATTTTACCGCCTGACAGTCCCTAAATTATAAAAAAAACATTTATCACTGACTTGCCTCCACCAAAAAAAAGTAAATAACAACAAAAATAACCTTTCCAACATAATCATTTCCATCGCCCTCCAAATACAAAGTTACACCTCTGGCCAAAAATGCACCAAAGCTTTGTCCTGCATGTCCAGTCAATGAAATTGAGACAGAAAGTTGGTTCGGAAGTCCTTTTTCACCATATTTTTTAGATATCTAAAACGAAAAAGGTGAGCTGTAAAAAACTTAAAAAGAACACTTTATTTGGTGCAGTAAAGAGAAACGGTAATAAAAAAATAAGGTTTTTCTCATTGTCAGCGCTGAAATAAATGAAGCAGTAAGCGAACCATATAACTTATTCGTGCTCCAAATGCACGATCCAAGTTTGTTACAGTGCAACCCTCTAAGTTCACTTTAGTAACTTTTCCACACAACAGGTCCTCACATGACTTAACTGCTTCTTCTTCTAATGCACTAATTTCATGTTGCTGCAAAAGTATTATTTATAAACATGCGTCATCCAAAATATATAAGAATTCAAACTAAAGATACATAAATTTCAAAACAACTTTTCTCCTCTTGAATATTAAACTGACTTGTTTTATTACTCCACCCCTTATATCACGATCTGGGAATAAACGGCGAATATTTTTAAGAATTCTCCCAAATTCCAACATAGTCGCTTTCTTATTAACCGGATCCGAACTAGCGTAAAGTAAATCGACTCGTCCAACAGCTTCCTAATAACACCATTTACTCCTATTTCTTGTAATAAATTTGCCAAATATTTCTTTGAATGAAAATAGCTAACCTGAACTGAGCGTAAGCCAAGATTGGATAGAAAGTATCGTACCTCCTCCGCCACCATAAACATATAGTTAACAACATGTTCTGGCTTACCACTAAATTTCGCTCGTAACACAGGATCCTAAAAATCCCCCCTTCAAGAGATTGCGTCTTTCCATAGAAGAACTATTTCGGAAAAGCTACAGTTCCTTGATAAAACTAAGAAGTCAACCTTCATTAAGTAAAGAAAGTAACCTGAGTAGCAATGCCAACTGGGCATGTGTTGAGATGACATTTTCGCATCATTATGCAGCCAAGAACAATCAGTGGGGCAGTGGACATCCCGACTTCGTCAGCTCCCAGTAGCATAGCAACCATAACGTCTCTTCCTAAAACAATAAATACTTGTCAAAGCTTCTGAAATTCATTGTAAACGTAATCAACAATTTTCAAAAAAAAAGTCATTAAACTAATCAAAAAATTATCTCATTATAGCTTCCAACATAGTGCTAACCAGTCCGGATTTGCCCATCAGCCTGCAAAACGACACGGGAGCGTAAGTTATTCATAGTAAGAACTTGATGCGTTTCGGCAACTCCTAATTCCCAAGGCAAACCGGCATGTTTGATACCTGTCCAACTAAAAACAAGCCACTAAATTACCAACCTTCAACGATGTGTTTGAAAAATTACCTTGAGGCGCCCGTGCCACCATCATGACCGGAAATAGTGATGTGATCCGCACCTCCTTTTACACAACCTGAAGCTATAATTCCAACACCAGCTTCCGAAACAAGCTTCACACTAATTCGTGCTAAGGGATTAGCACATTTTAAATCATATATAAGTTGCGCAAGATCCTCGATACTGTAAATGTCATGATGCGGAGGAGGCGAAATGAGGCCAACTCCTGCGGTTGAGTTTCTGGTATGAGCAATTTCAACAGTCACTTTGTGACCAGGAAGTTCACCGCCTTCGCCTGGCTTAGCTCCTTGTGCCATTTTTATTTGGATTTCATCCGCATTAGCGAGGTAAGCACTGTTAACTCCAAAACGGGCAGACGCTACCTAAAAAAAGCTTGTTGTCTATGTTAAATACAAGAAAAAACTTTTACTAGTTGCTGACAAATTCTGTTAAATTAGGATCACACCTGTTTTATGGCAGATCGGACGTTATTTTCTTTCTGCTGACCACTCCGATAACGTTCAGGTTTCTCCCCACCTTCACCAGTGTTTGAACGCCCTCCAATCCTATTCATGGCTATCGCGAGCGTTGTGTGAGCCTCCCAAGATATGCTGCCAAAAGACATAGCTCCTATAGAAAAGAAAAAGGGAGTTAGAAGTTAGGACGTTCAGTGCATATTTAGCACACAATTCTCTAGTTTGAGTGTTTATTTTTAAGAAAATTTCTATTATCAAGAGCCTAGATTGAAAACTAACCTGTTGCGAAACGCTTCACAATCTCAGATGCCTGCTCAACTTCTTCTATTGGTATCTTTAGTGACTTGCTAGTTTTAATTTCTAGCTGACCACGAAGAGTACACATTCGCTGTGCCATATTTGACGCTATTGAAAACTCCCTGTAGCTTTTTTTATCATTTAGCCGCCCGGCAGCCTAAACAATTGCATTAAACCAAAATTCTTTAATTTGGCCTAGTCTCTGTCAAAACCCCTGGGTTAGAGTAATAAAAAAGCTCACTTAAAATAAGCCAGCAGAAGGTACTATAGCCCAGTGATAATTTTTTCAAAATGCATTTTTGTTGGTCATTGCCTACTAATCTTCACTTCCACTAAAAATTCTTCTAAAGTCTAGTAAAGGTGCATAAATGTAAAATCCACTGTGAAACTTACCTGCAGTTTAGCAACACTCAGTGGTTCGTTAATATGTCTTTCGCCACCAGCTCGCCAGTGATATAAGCCTGGACTAATTAACGTACTACTGTCTCCTGAAGTCAATTAATTTTTAGTGGTAAAAAACGACAAATGACTTGCAGTAAGGCACAAAAATCCACAACTAATTGACTCTTCTTTATTTGTTAACTAAACTAAACAGAAAAAGCTAAAAATATTTCAGCAGATAACAGTACCAAAATTGTATTTCAGCTGTTCTGAACATGGATATGCAGCATGATGAATCTGCAACGCTTCAGCAGCTAAGATGTCAAACGTGGCTCCTCCAAGTCGAGAAATAGTATTAGTGAAACATCTATCAACCACTTCCTGAGCCAGTCCAACTGCTTCAAATATTTGAGCACCCTTAAGCAATTCTGATTAGCACACAACAGATAGAGAAAATCTATTGGCATACCTTGTAACTATGTAGTGTACTAATTCCCATTTTTGCCATGACTTTGAAAATCCCTCTTTCGATTCCAGCTCGGTAATTTTGGTAAACCTAGAAATAAAATAAAACTTATATGTCTCAGCAAAGATATTATGCTCTGATGTATTCAGAAAAAATCAGGTAAATGAAAATGAACCTGGTCATCATTGATGTCACTGTCAAATAGCCCCATTGTTCGCAAACGATGGCAAGTCTCATATATCATATATGGACAAACAGCGTCTGCTCCAAAACCAAGTAGCACACAAAAATCATGAACCAACTTCACTTCCCCAGATTCAACGATTAAAGCCACCTTTAAAATAAAGGTACGGATTTGTGCACAAGGAACTGATACCACAAAATTTCTACAAATATGAAATTAAAACCTTTGTTCGGAGTTTCTGTCTCAGAAGACACTGATGAACTGCTCCAAGGGCTAGTACCGAACTAACAGCAACAGAATTGGCGCTAACATTCCGATCAGAAAGAATTATCATTTGATAGCCATCCAAAACTGCAGCGCATGTTTCACTGCAAATTCTATCCAGTGCTGGCAAAAGACCCTAAAGGTTTTAACAACCATAAAACTGTCCCGATTAAATATCAATAACATAAGAGTTGGAAATTTAATTGTTCAGCACCTTCGCGTCGTGGTTAACCGGGTAAACTATATCAATTACTTTGGTCTTCCAGCCCCTGTATGTGGTTCTTTTTAACACCTGAAAAATTAGAAATTTTTTTTTTGAAGAAAAAAGTGAATGAACCTTGTCACATTTCTGAAAAATACAGAAGTAAAGAACCTCGATATCAACCATCGACAGCACTGGTTGCTCCAAAATCAAACGTGCTTCTAATTCTTCTTCTGGTTCTAGTAAGTTAGATTCAGGACCAACAGGACAGCGAAGGGACATAACAATCTGTTCTCGAAACGGATCGATTGGAGGGTTTGTAACCTAAAACGATATGCAAGTTAAAGAAGGCCAGTTTTTTGTCGTATGTCAGACAGGGACAACCTACAAATTACAGTTAAAAAACACGGTTCTTTGTCTACAACTTTACCACAACATACAAGAAACAGAAAGTAGACGCATTTCTCCTTCTGCTTTTACCTGTGCAAAAAGTTGTTGGAAGTAGGAGAACATCAAAGGGCTGTAGTCTGAAAGACAAGCCAAGGCAGCATCATTCCCCATAGAACCAATCGCTTCCTTTCTAAAATTTCTTTATCAGACTTTCAGGAAGAACCAAAGTAAATATATAGCATTTGATCAGAAAAGTAACCTGATATAAGCTAATAAGACCCAAACCTTTCTTTAATTAACGGGATAACAAGCATAGAGAATGTATCAGGGGAAAAGGAAAAAGCTATCAGACGACGGTCATAATCCAAACGAATGTCTTTGTGAGTCTTTTGAGGACCGTTGGCTGTCCATCCATCAAATATACCATGCTGTTCAAGTTCCCGTTTTATGAGGTACTCATTAGTTACCGCACCATGAGAGAGCTAGGAAAATCTTGTGAAGACTGTACGGTAACGATTAACAGTGTTAAAAGGTTCTGCTAACAAAGT